AAAAATTAAAACCAACCCTTGCCATCTGCAGGTGAATGAAAACACGGGTAGGGCATGCACGTGTACGTAAATGACGATTGCGCCACACATGTTGGGTATCACTGCGACCGTCAGAGTTATGAGCAGTAAAGGCTTTTAGGAGTTGCCTATGGACAATTTTGAGTACCATAATTTTTTGCCATTGCATGGGCGCATGCAATTTTAACTCTGGGCATGTTTGGTATCTAGTTATTCAGTTATTCTGTGCACTAAAATTAATTTTAGTGTATTTTATCCTAAAAATATTTGATTTTTGGTTTAATAACATTTGTGGAAATATTGTGCGACAGAACAAATTGTCCTTTTTTTGCAACTTTTTTTATTACACAGGACCTCAGTTTTCAGAAAATTAAATAAAATATCATTGTTTGGGGGTATTAAGCTGTTTTCTAGCCAAAAATTCAGACTTCATGTGTGTGCAAAAATGTAAAAATTGCTCCGGACAGCGAGTGGTTAAAGGAATCCACTGTATTACACTGTCCCTGTGGTGACTAAAAGTAACACTGGGCAATAAGAAATTAAATTAAAAGAAAACCTGTTTAGAAACATGAATGGCTTGTAATCATAGAATATCTCTAATCTATGTTTGTTTGCTGTGTAGCTCAAACAACACAAGTCTTTTGCAGCTGTATCACCATTAAGCTATATTGTATCAGCAACACTTTGACACACTTTATTTTTGTTTTTTGCATTATTCTCCTCCATTTAAAGGAGAGCTATGAGGTGAATGAAAATCACTTTCACAGGTCGGCTCCATAGATCGGGAAGTGAGCGAACACATACTGTCGCTTGCTTACTTCTCGATCCTGTCCCTGCAGAGAGCCGTGACTGTCACTCACGGCTCCCTGCAGGGATCCCCCCCTCCCCCATCCGATCCCCTAGCGCTGACTGGCGGAACAGATGGGGAGGGGGAGGGGGCAGGAACAGCTGGCTCTGCCTCTAGATAGGCAGAGCCAGCTGTCAATCGCGCAGCTGGGTGGATCTCGACAGTAATGTCGGGATCCGTCCCGGCTGCGGTGGTCTTAGTATATACTGAGCTTTGGGTGACGGGAGGACGCTAGTTTGTGTCCTCCCGTGACCCTTGGGAGAGCTTTGGGGAAAAGCACCGACCCCATAGTTCTTCTTTAATCCGGCCATTTATAGCTTGTCTGTTATCCATAGTATTTATGACAAACTGTCTATCTTCCACAGTCCCAATATTGTTATGATTTATCCTGAATATGCCTGCATAACTGTGGTTTGCATTTTGCCCATTAAGTGATTTCAATTGTATGTGCCATTATTTAAATGACATGCTTTGTATTATCATTCATTACCCAGAATGGTAAATCCTTTGCTGTGATCTAGCAAACATTTTCCCTTTATACAGAAAACAAGGTTCATACTATCTAACTGGTAACCACAGATTTTCCAACAAATTTCACGCTATTGGTAGTGCTTAATTATAGAAAATACACAAGGAACTGTGTAATCATCATCTATCATGTATAGGTATTAATCTAAACAGCTCATGAACCTGTGGTTTACAAAAACAACATTAGAGTGCCACCGTGTGGTCAAAGGTGTTGCTGTAACAATTTTATTAAAACAGTGTTAATATTTAAATAAAAATTGCCATGAATATAATGGTTATTAGAATAGAACTTCAGGAAAACTGCTAAATACTCAGTTGCAGTACATATACTGTACTGAATCTCTTTTACCTGACTTGGGGTTTTCTAATTCTTTTTAGCCAGTTTTGTAATAGAATGCACCATCCTTCTGTATGCAGTGAGATGTTGCTGCCTCATCTACAGAGAGAGAGTGATACCACAGGAACAAACAGGCAGCCTCTTGGCAATCTTGTCACTGGGCATTTTAACAAATTGCCAGCGGCAGTATTGTCAGCGGAAAATCCACCCATCTGACATTGACCTTGCTATCTAAGGGAAAGCAGTGTTCTCTTTGCAGAGATCCGACATGCCCCCTAACTAGTCACACCTGTAGCTCTGAAATCAGCAAAGCTCATGCTCACCTCTATTTGGAAAGCTCTGACTCATCCTGGGGAATGTTGGACCTCTGCAAATCTGCTTACCCACAGATAGCAAGGATCTCGCTCTGCAGCATGCTGGCGGGGCAGGTGTTTCTTTTAAGACTTTGCACACATTTTGTTTTGATGCACTTTTGGAATGCAAAATAATGAAATTGGAAAAAAATGTAAATAAAAAACAGTGTTTGCTGCAATACCCACCCTCAGTTTGGAGCTGTCCCACTTCATTTCTGCCAGTAGATGTCCTCAGTCTTTAATAAATTTAATGATGGACAGCAGTATTTATCCCACTTCTTGTGAGCTCAGGTCCTCTTGGGCCCACCCCAATCCAAAGACTTGACAGCTACAGCCTCTGTTGTCAAAAATTGGTCTCTTGCCTTTGTTCTGATTGTGGTTAAGTTCATTTAGTTTTGACTACTAAGAAGTTTTTTTTTTCTTGAATTTCTTGGATCTCTTGTCCTGTTATTTGGATACTTTTGTTTTTCATTATAGTTGGCTATATAGTTGTGTTTAGGGTGAAGTGCTCAAAGCAGCTGTGGGGGGTGTGGGGGCGGAAATTAGCAGGCCCAGATGAGGAAAACTATATATTTAGCCCTGGGGTGACCATCTACCTGCTTATGATGTCAAGTAAAGAAAACCCCATAGGTTAAAAAAAAAAAATGTATGATACCTTTTGCTTTATGTAAAAGAAACAAAAGTGGGTTTCCAACAATTTGTAATTTTTTTCTTTGTGTAATAATAAGCAGCTAAGACTAACAGATACTCTTGCAATGCAATCACAAAATAGAAGCGGGCCTATTATTGCAAGGGATGCTAGAAATTGGGAGCATTATTAGATATCATTAGCCAGAGCCGGCACTACCACACAGGCAGCTTGAAGGCGCTGGTGGGGGAGGGCAGAAAAACACCTCACCCAGCTCTCTCTGCTCTGTGCTTTCTCCGGAGCTTGCTGGTGCTGTTCCTGCACTGTCCCGGCCGAGATATTTACATTTGAATGGGCTGTGGCGATATGCATATCAATAAGCCGTGACCCATTCATATGTAAATATCGCGGCTAATTCATATGCAAATCAATGCCGCTACCCCTCCCCCACCCCGCTACTAAGGAAGAAAAGACTGCAAGAACAAGGTAAGTTTAAAGTGACATTAAAGTCCAAAAAGTTGTTCCCTCCCCCAATGTTAATGTCAGCACTTACCTTAAATGATGTCTCTTATTCTGATCTTCTTCTTCTTTCCTGATGTTTTCATCTGTCCCTCCAGCGGTGCGGCGGCTCTCCGATCCAACGCTGACTCCTCTGCGGGTGCACGCGTCCATAGACTTGTGCCCGCCCCAAGATGCTTTGTGGCCGCCCAAGCAGTTTCGGATTTTCGGACGGGAGCGCACTGTTAAAGCGTTTAAAAAAAAAAACTTTTTGCATATATCTACTGCTTGCTAGCTGTAGATATATGCAAAAAAAAACCGGAGGGTTTAGAAACCCTTTAAGCATGTGTATGGTGTATACCTTCGTTACATTGGCGGTCATTGTGAACACTTTTGTTACATTGGCGGTCATTGTGAATACTTTCGTTACATTGGCGGTCATTGTGAACACTTTCGTTACATTGGCGGTCATTGTGAACACTTCCGTTACATTGGCGGTCATTGTGAATACTTTCGTTACGTTGGCGGTCATTGTGAATACTTTTGTTACATTGGCGGTCATTGTGAATACTTTCGTTACGTTGGCGGTCATTGTGAATACTTTTGTTACATTGGCGGGCATTGTGAATACTTTTGTTACATTGGCGGGCATTGTGAATACTTTTGTTACATTGGCGGGCATTGTGAATACTTTTGTTACATTGGCGGGCATTGTGAATACTTTTGTTACATTGGCGGGCATTGTGAATACTTTTGTTACATTGGCGGGCATTGTGAATACTTTTGTTACATTGGCGGGCATTGTGAATACTTTTGTTACATTGGCGGGCATTGTGAATACTTTTGTTACATTGGCGGGCATTGTGAATACTTTTGTTACATTGGCGGGCATTGTGAATACTTTTGTTACATTGGCGGGCATTGTGAATACTTTTGTTACATTGGCGGTCAGTGTGAATACTTTCGTTACATTGGTGGTCAGTGTGAATACCTCCGTTACATTGGCGGTCAGTAAGAATGACTCTGTTACATTGGCGGTCAGTGTGAATACATTTGTTACACTGGAGGTCAGTGTATATACTTCCATTACATTGGAGGTCAGTGCTGTTAGCTATGCTATCTTTAGTGAAGATATATGGGGGGATGTGTCCTTCTATTGGGGTGCTCCATGGTAATAGACGTAAGGTGTCAATGCCTTTGGCTTTACATATTGGGCTTCAGAAGATGATGGTCATTCTGTTCCCAAATTTTGGATATGTTTAGTGTGAGCTGTAACATGGACATCTCTGCTATGCTTTCTGGAGTGGTACACTTTGGGGGGATGTCTTTGTATTGGGGTGCTCCACAGTAAACTATTTGGGGTGTCATTGCTTGTGGTTTCTCATATACAGCACTAGTAGCTGATGGTTTTCCTTTTCTCTAAATTCTTCAGAGATAATTGGTTAGAACTGTAACATGAATATCACGGATCTCCTATTAGTTTTGGAGTGCTGCTTTATGGGATGTCTTTGCAGGGCCAGCGCTAGCATAAGGCTGTCTGAGGGTGCCGGGTGGGGGGCAGTAAAATGCACCTTCATCTGTGTAGGCAAAAAAGCACCGGCCCGGTCAGTAGCCTTTTTTTTATGGCCAGTCGTAATTAAAGTTAATATTTTTTTTATTCATATTGTACATTTTTTTCTAAGAGCAAGTAAATGTTTTTACACAGACATTGATGGTGATTATTGTACTCTGCACTTTATGTATACAGTAGTTACCATTTAAGAACACTCACAGGATACTTCTCTTTCATAGGTACCATGCACTTCGCTTGCTGATGTTGCAAAGGCTGGAAGAACTAACAAGCTATGAGAGCTATGCATGAAGGAAGCACAAAAGATGAGAATGAGGAAAAAAGTGTCTGTCATACCATGGACTTTACAGCTCAAAAACTCTTCATCTTATAAGTTACAACTGTTTGTTTACACACAACTACAAGAACTATATTGTACCGTTACCACTGACAACACATGCAGAGCTTTTTAGCCTGTCTCAGGATATACTTATCACAGCTGCCTCATTACTGATATAATTAGATTAGGGATGAGCTAGGTACGTCGAGGGTTTAGTTAATTATTTTTAGAAATTTGGCTAACGTAAACTTAACGGCAAATCCTATTATAGTGTATGGTCAAAATATAGTAGATAAAAAAAAAGTACAGGCAGGTATTTTACTATGAGAATCAAGAGTCAACAGATGACACAACAGTGTAAAATTAGCCAGTAGCAGGACAATTATATTTAGTAAGTCTAGGCCCAAATATACTAAAGACAAAGAATACAGGCAGGGATTTGCTAAAAAAAAATTAATACAATTTAGAGGATATAGTAGTGTAAAATTAGCCAGTAGCAGGACAGTTTTAATCAGGGATAATAGGCCTAACCATTGTATGCATTACGTTTATTTTTACTGTGGGGATAGGGGCATGTGGTGAATGTGAGTGATATAATGTGAAGTGGTTTAGATGCACACTTTTTTAAACAGGTGCATGCCGCAAAAAACAAAAGACAGCTGCTTACCATGAACAGATGTAAAGTAACAAGTGAATGCTGTGCTTGGAGCACCTCAAGCTTAAACTAAAATCAAAATGACCACAACATAAAATTAAAGACAAAATAAATAACAAAATAATAAAAATAAAAAAGTATGGAAAGGGGTTATTACTCAAATAGCTAGTAGAGCAATCAGAATTAAAGTGCAATTTCTTAACTACTCTAATTTCTCCCAATGCATTTTGTCAGCTTTCCCTATCCTTTCCCTACATCTGCTTCTGATTCACTGACAATATGGCTGTTCTGTGTCCCCCCTTTTATAGTGACAGTGCTGGCTGTTTAAAGAGTTCTTTTGGTCGTTTTAAGCATACTGGCCATAGTTGTCGAGGCCATGCAGTGCATTATTGTTAAAAAAAAAAAACTTCTCCTGGATGAATCTGTACATACACTATATTGCCAAAAGTATTGGGACACCTGCCTTTACATGCACATGAACTTTAATGGCATTCCAGTCTTAGTCCGTAGGGTTCACTATGGAGTTGGTCCACCCTTTGCAGCTATAACAGCTTCAACTTTCCTGGGAAGGCTGTCCACAAGGTTTAGGAGTGTATCTATTGGAATTTTTGACCATTCTTCCAGAAGCGCATTTGTAAGGTCAGTTACTGACGTTGGACGCCCACAATTTTCCATGTGGACATCCACTTTTCAAATGACAAGCTCAATGAGATCTACTAACGAAAAAACACCTGCATTTAGGGGCGGGAGGGGATGTGGCCATGCATTAAAGTTAATGGCATCGCAGCCATGCCCCCCGCCCGCAGTGCGATTGCCCGCACCTGGAACGCAGGCAAATTAGTGCCTGCATTTCGGTCCAGTGCGATCTGCAAAAATGCTGCAAGCACTATAATGTGCTGTGTTCTGGGTGCGGGCGATCGCACTGTGGGAGGGAGACAGTGGTGCCATTGACTTCAATACAACCCCCCGCAGGGAGTCGGCCAGAGGTCGAACACTCTGGAACGCAGACTTTGCGGTGTCAACCGGCCCTCTCTCTTGGCTGTCTCTTCTCTCTCTCCTCGCTCTCTCCCGTTTCTATCTGCTGTCTTTTCTCTCTCTCCTCGCTCTCCCCCTGTTTCTATCTGCTGAGCCACCGGCTGTCAGATCCTGGCCAAGCGGCTCTCTCTCTCTCCTCACCGCTCGGGTTATGCTGCTGTGACAACAGCTCCATCCTCTGATCACCAAACCACCTTCTCCCCGCGGGCTGCAGCGCTTCCTTTACTTCTCCCCGGATCCCCGCTGCATACAGATGGAGGAGAGCAACGGGGATCCAGAGGAGAAGCCACACAGGACACAGCCGATCGCGATCAACCTAATGGGCACCCCTGCTCCAATTCATCCCAAAGGTGTTCTATCGGGTTGAGGTCAGGACTCTGTGCAGGTCTGTCCAGTCAAGTTTCTCCACCCCAAACTCGCTCATCCATGTCTTTATGGACCTTGCTTTGTCCACTGGTGCGCAGCCATGTTGGAACAGGAAGGGGCCATCCCCACCTGCTTCCACAAAGTTGGGAGCATGAAATTGTCCAAAATGTCTTGGTATGCTGATGCCTTAAGCATTCCCTTCACTGGAACTAAGGGGTCAAGCCCAACCCCTGAAGAACAATCCCACACCATAATCCCCCCTCAACCAAACTTTGCATTCGGCACAATGCAGTCAGGCAAGTACCATTCTCCTGGTAACCGCCGAACCCAGACACGTCCATTGGATTGCCAGACAGAGAAGCATGATTCAACACTCCAGAGAACACGTCTTCCACCTCAGTGGTGGCGTGTTTTACACTACTGCATCAGACGCTTTGCATTGCACTTGGTGATGTAAGGCTTGGATGCATCTGCTCAGCCATGGAAACCAATTCCATGAAGCTCTCTACGCAATGTTGTTGTGCCAATCTGAAGGCCACACAAAGTTTGGAGGTCTGTAGCTATTGACTTTGCAAACAGTTGGCGACTTGTGCACGCTGTGCGCTTCAGCATGCGCTGATTTTACGTGGCCTACCACTTCGTGGCTGAGTTACTGTTGTCCCCAGTTGCTTCCACTTCATTATAATACTACTAACAGTTGACCATGGAATATTTAGTAGCAAGGAAATTTCACGGATGGACTTATTGCACAGGTGACAACCTATCACGGTACCACAATTGAGTTCCTGAGAGCGACCCATTCTTTCACAAGAAGCAGTCTGCATGCCTAGGTGCTTGATTTTATACACCTGTGGCCATGGAGGTGATTGGAAGATCTGAATCCAATGATTTGGAGGGGTGTCCCAATACTTTTGACAATATAGTGTATATTCAAACCCACAGGATTCGCCTGGAACCCATGGTAGTGGCAACCTCATATCTACCTAAGATAGGCAACTGTGCTAAAGGGTAATTGAAAAAAGGCAGAAATTGTCTTAAACCAGAGTGTATGCTGTCTTACTATACACACTTTGGAAGGACAATATGGATTCTTCAGCTCAGCAAAATTTTCTATATATGTGGCAAAGGTTTCAGGGTAAAACCATTCACTAGTGGAGCCTAAATATAATTTTTTTTTATGATAAAATGATAGAATTATTGTATACTTTCAATTTTACCACTGAGCATCTGACCTGTTTAGAAAGACCCACGTTAAAAGAATGAAATTAAAAGTAATCAGGGTTTCATGGGTATGTTTAAATGGAACTATACAATAGGCTTAGGGAAGAGTTAAAAATGTAAAACTAATTTACAGCTTAGATTCAAAACAACAAAAAACTAAATGTGTTTTGGTCAGTGCAAATGGGCACTTTGAATTTGATGCTTTTTAAATCTTTAAAGAGTTTGCATGGCAGACCCAATTATATAACCTGATGATACAGATATGTTGGTGCTTTTAGAATGTAGTTAAATGTTTAGATAAGTGTCAGAACCAGCTGTGGACGCAAGCTGTCTGAACAAATAGTGACGAGTTGTTTCACCTATAGCAGCCGCCGTTCCCATAATGCAAGCACGCCTACCGGTACTTGGATGCCCCCAGGACTTGAACTATATGTTCTGATCAGGTGAAGCCACAGGCTGGCCAGAGGTACTAAAACGAGGTACGCACAGAAGAAGAAAGACACTTCCAGAGAGTTATCAGGGACGAGCTGGATTCAAAGGCTGGAAAGGGTAATCTGGGCACAAGCTGAGGTCAGGGCAGGCCCTCAGCGGGGCGGGCTTTCGATGATCGCAAGTACGATCTGCCCGTCCAAGGTGGGCAGGTCGTACGAGCTTTCAATAAGCATACAACCATGGCAAGACAAAAGTCTTGCGATGGTCGTAAGGTGTATGGGCACCTTTACATAGGATGCCACTAGCAACAAGGCCAATCCCAGAGCAGGAGGTGTGTGGTTAGATTAATTAAGCCACAGCTGACTAAATTAGTGCTTGCTCCAAGCGAGACACAGGATGATTAACCCTTGCAGTCAGGGCTGCAGCCAGCAATACAGGCTGCCTGAACTACACAGGCTGCCTGACAGCTAGGCCTAAAAAAAGTGTGAACAATTGCAATACAAGGACCTCAATATTGTTATGAATTATAAATGCATTTCACATAATGATCTAATCGTCCTTCACACCCCAGCCTTCGACCCACTGCAAGGGTAAAGGTTTTTATCCCCGGTGTTCAGCTTTACCTCTTAGTTTAAGGGCCTGTTCACACGACGTCCGTTTTGTGTGCTGACCCGATCCGTAGGCTGCTGCACTCAAAATGCATCCCAATGTATCCCTATGTGTTTTATGGGCTACAGTTCTCACGTGCGCAGTCCGTTCAGCTTACGACAGAAAAAATACTGCATGTCACATTTTGTCCGGTCCAGAAACGCACGAACGTGCACGAAACGCAACGAGAACGGAAACGCAACGCAATGCAGCTAAGGAAAAAAAATTGTATTCTTGCTCCACTTATTATGATGTTATCAACGATAGACAGACAGGTTGGGGTAGAGGTAACGACATGAACTGCAAACATTTGGAACATGCCCATCACCTTGCCATGGACATACGAGTAAAGGAAAAATATGTATCCGGGTGACTTCGCAAATCCTCATACTGACCCTTGGAGTCCCGGAGCCTCAAGATTGGGTGTACCCAATAACGACGTCTCCTGCGGGCTCGTTCTCTGCAGATTGCTGTAGCCAGCACCATCAACATGTCTGCAAATATGTGATACATGTCTGATCACTAGCTTTACATACACTAAGGGAAGTAGATGTTCTGAGAGGGCGGAAGTGACCTCAGAGGCTGAATCTGCATACTGACAGCCCCTTGGCTAAAA